CTGCTGTTGTTTTTAACAACCAGTATTTCTCGCTACTGATTCTTCTACTCCTTTACCTCCTATACCCTGCTTTTCTTAGAATAAAAATCAGAAGAATGTTGTTCCCCGACCATCTACACTAGGAAAAGACTTATAATTAGATTTAGGAATACTTTAAGTCTACTACTGAAAGAAGTATGAAGCCCCAAATGAATTGTGGTATCTTCTTTATCATGCAGTATTAACTCAACCAAACAAGAGGTATAGACAAGTCAAGCCTCTATGATGTGCCAACTCTCCAAATAGACCAAATGAAATCAATTAGCCTCTGAAACTCTTCATTAATATTTAGAGAAGGACTATCAATTGCTTACCATCAGGTGGGCTGCAGAAACTAAAATTTAGAGTACCTTAGTTTTACTGTTTTAAGTTCAATGGAAAAAGTCTGTTTGGTGGTTAGTAATGAAGCTTCACTGGCCTAGTTCAAGATGACAAATTTCCTAAGATCCCCACATGACCATATTTTTCTTTATCTCATCCTTAGTATTTTTGAAGGAGGGGGAAAAAAAAAAGATTAAAGCCCCTCCCCACTTTCCTCTTTCAGAAGATCAGTGTTTTGAAACCTTTTCATCTCTCTTCTACTACAGACATATCCTTTTTATAGCCTGTGGTCTCAAGAATCTCTCCTCTCCATAGTGCATTAAATTTGAGTGCTAGAATTTAGTTTTTAATGAAAAATTTCATTTTGCCCTCTTCAGTGTTCCATGGCTTTAGGCCCACTCAAAACTAGTGTAGAGCTTAAACATAGATTGTTACAATCTAATAGCTGGCCTATTAAACTAACAATGTTTCATTGACTCTATCTTTTCTAATCTCATCTTAAAAATATATACTTTTCCCTTTCCTAAGTCACATCTCTTTGCCCCTGTTATTGGCCTTATTGTCCAGCACTTTTATTTATTATTTAATGCCCTTACATCACTGCATACCACATGATGTTTAGTGGCTTATATTATTTAACTTTTCACATAGCATCTTTTCTGTAGATTGTGACCTCCCCAATATTTCAGAGTAAAGTTTCTTATTCCCGAGTGTTTTAAATATTTGACATGTATTCTAGTGCATAACTTCTATTGGATACACAAGGAAGTTAATGTATCAGCAGGTGTATTTCTTGCACACTCACTTACAATTTGCTCTTTCTTCATTCATTACTCTGACACTTCATGGAAATGGGAATGTTGGGCATTGCTAAAGAGAAATTAAATTAATTCATTGTCTCAGTATGTGCAGATGCATTAAATACACATTTCCCAGGGGAGGAAGAAAAAATTCAAAGGGAAATAGGGATCACAATATAACAAGTGATTAAGGAATTAGAATGTCTGAATTCTAAAGGCCAGATGGCATGCACCCCAGAATTCTGGAAGATAACGGCAAAAGGGGAAAACATTGAGAGTTAGATGTGCACTGTGTATACTAGATTAACATCACAGACATGTCTGCAGCTGCACTGAATGCTGATGTTCCTCCTCTTCTGAAAATAGGATCTAGCAATTAGTAGATCTATTTAAAACTCTGTGTAAATAAGAAGTCCTGGTGGGGTGCCAGCACTTATGTTTGAGAGAAATATCCAAGAAAACTTCAATAAAGTGTCTCTTTTTAGGTAAAGGTTTTTCAAACAGTGAGGTGGGACAGAGAAAGAGGTGATATCTATTGTTTTAAAATTTTAAGGATAGCCAGCACAACTGCAAAACAGGAAAGGTAACCAATGAAGTCTGAAATACAACATTTGAACTAGAGGGATAACACCCACAGACAATGTAGTCAGACTACAAGAATATTTTCAAACAAAAGGGCAACCTACAAGGTCAATAAAAATAGTATGTGGCATGAAATATTTCACTGGAACAAGGACTGGCTGGAGGCAAACCTAAAGGAAACCTAAAAAGAAAAAGAATGTGCCAATAGTGACAAATTTGTAGGCAGTCAATGGGAAAGAAGAAAAGCAAATGTAGGATGCCTTTATAGGCTCTCACAATTTAGCACAATTTACCCCTGGAAGACTAACCCACCCCCCAAGTCCCACTCATTCCCCCAAAATGGAATGAATGGCTTCAACTAATGCATAGGGGAGAACAATCAAGTATTAAGGGACATGACAAAAATCTTTTTTATGAGGACCCTTAACCAAGAAAGGTAAAAAAAAAAATTATAAAGTCAGATTTTAAGAAGTTATTCATTTTTCTGGGATAAGAGTCCAAGTCATAAAGTAACATTCACACACACACACACACACACACACACACACACACACACAACTCCTGACAAACTTGCTCGGAGTTAAGAATTGCTACATGACCTCTCCAAACTTCTCCAAAGCTCTGAATCCCAAGTAGCGTTACTGTTACCATTAGTACCATTCCAATATTATGTCATCCCAAACAGCTACTTACAAAAAATGAAAAGAACACCTCTGTCACAAACGACTCAATGAGAATCTCTTCAGAACTGGAGTACATCCTGGTATTCAAAACCCTAGTTGCAGGGGACAACGGCAACACTAGGCATAATCTTCCTCTTTTGCCTCTCTGCTTGTTGAATTTATTCCCATCTTTTCAAAGACCAACTAAAAGGTTACCTTCTGATATCACTCCCGGATAGTAAGAACTTTATCAGGCCTGACATGGCAGTCCTTTTCGCACTTTTCTAATATGCTTATTATTTACTGAGCATTATTTCTATATAGTGAATGTGTGTCATAAAGATCTTATTTATCCACATTCTAAATTTTCCCCACTGCTGAGCACCACCTTCTTAATAAATACTGAGGGAACGGAATAATCCCCTAACATGGTTTTTTAAACATTGTCTTAATGGTATAAGAATCAGTGGTAAGATTTTGGCTTAGTTGTTATTCAATGACTCAATTTAAGAATCATCTGATTTATCCCTTTTCCATATGACTTTTCTTTTTTTCATAGGATCACAGATTTAGGACTGGAAGGGACCTTAGAGGTCACTGAATTCAACCTCCTAATCATTCACAGGAAGATCCTCAGATCCAGATGTTGCTTCCTCAACATCACTCAGGTAATAAAACTGTAGGAGGCCAGGATTCAAACCCAAGTCCTCTGACTGCAAAACAACACTCTTCCCCCTACTTTAATTTCTATCTTAAAGAAGAAAGGTATATAAGCTACTAACTGTTCCCAAAATAAAGAAATTTTTTATGTTGTTATTTGCTCTTAAAAAAAAAAAGTTGCCCAATCCCTTCTATTGATTGGGAATATTTTAAAAACAGTTTTCTCAATGCCATTGCACCTGATGCATTAAAAACCCAAAGGGAAATAATTAATCTAAAAAATCCAGCTGCTTATGAGGATAGCAGAGGCAACATGAGACCTTTAAGGATAAGAAGTAATCAATCTGTCATTTTCTAGAAATGAAGACAAGAGGGCAAGAAGACTTAATCTTTAACCTAAATTTTAGAAGTACAAATTCAACTCAGGGCTATAGTAGGGAGGCAGTCCCAAAATAAAGCTAGAATTCACTATGACTTAAATAGCATTGTTTGTTCAGCTCCCAGGGATTTTTAGGTAAAATTTGCATTGGAAAGAATTAGCTCAAAGGTATTTTTAGCTTAAAATAAAACTGTTCCCCCCCCATCTCATGATCCCCTTCCTAAAAGGCTCCCCACTTGATCATCCCTTCCAGTCCAATCCCCAAACTCCTTTACCCCTAAAATTCATATGTTTCCTCTTTCTGCTTTAGTGAAAACCCACCACACAATTCACTGCAAGAATATCTTACAGGATTTCCATTTGTTTTGCCTCAGCTCCTACATTAATCCAAACAATAAGGGCCTTTAAAACATTCATAAATAACCTGCTGCTGCTGCTGGCACCTAGGAGCCAAGTGCAGCAATGTTAAGCAACAACAAATTTCATAGTTCAAGAGGCACAGTTAAGGAAAAAGGTTGCTCAGAAAATCGCTCTCATTTAGCACAAAGATCCTTAAAAATTGCATGAAATCAGTCAAGTAACTATAGAAACCAATTTCTTCAGCTCCATATCACACGTCTCACACCTCAATTGTCTTTATTATCGTCTGCTGTCAGATCCTTAATCAGAAATGTGAACAGGCTTGATGATTTATTCAGCAGGGAAAAGAATCTGTAGGTCAAGTGAAAAATTTCACACACACCCCCATACACACCACATCTTCAACCTTAGGTACTTTCATTTCATTCTGTTCCCAGTAGCTCTGGGGGCAACTCCAGTGAGATCCAATATTAAGGCTCAATTAAAATAAGCTCCAATTAGTGGAGCTTTTTTCTCTGAGGCTAGAAAAGTCAGGAAATGGATATTGGGAAATGTAAAAAGTCAGCTACTGAGAGGAGGCTACAGACATAAATGAACTTATTTGTTGATTTCTACAGTTGCTATGCAGAGGCCTCTGGGAGTAAAAGCTTAACCAGTCTAAGCTATAAACTAAAACCCCTGCAGCTAAACATGAACTGTGTGAAACAAGGGCTCCATTCCAGAACAGAAAACTGCTGGGCCCAGAAAATTAAAAGCCAGAGGCATTTTCCATTTAAAACTAAATCCCAGTACCGCCTCCCAGCCAAAGAATTATAAGCAGTATCAGATTTACAAAACGAACAATTACCCTGGAAAAATGTAGCCTATTGTACAGTCCCAGATGCTAAATCTCAAAAGTTTCCTTTTTTTTTTTTAATCCCACATTATATTCTTACCAAGTGCACTGCTATACTTTACAAAGAACCATTTCGAGACAGGCCTAAGCCTTGGAAATAAATTTTAAAAGGAAAGCTCATAATTCATTGACCTTATTTGAAGTACTGCCCTTGCCTGTGGCAGTTCCTGTCCTACCCCAAGGCCTCTGCAAATGGTATGCCACAGCAAAATAAACCCTGACCTAATTGCTGGCAGGCGAGCACTGCTGCCACCCTTCTCTCAAACACAAAGGCAGTGAGCATGGCGAGTTCTAAGTCTTACCTCTTTGGCTTTCTGCTTTAACCGCAGCTGCTCTGGATCTTCTTTATTAGAACGACTCTATCAAAGTAAAAGAAAATTGTAATAGAAATTACTAGCATCTAAACACCACGGCAGCCGTTAAATATTTAATAAATGACAATTTTCTCTTGTGATTGAAAATTCTAGCTCCAGGGGCAAATGCCAGAATCCAGGTTTGGTTCCCCAGCCCCTTGCTCTCCCCTCCTCCACCCTCTTCCCCCTTGCTCTTCAGCTGGGCCTGCTGCTGCTATTGCTGCTGCTGCTGTTCTAGCCTGGAGGAAGCTTATACTGAAAGTGATGCTAACACTGTCAGTCAGGTCCAGTTGAGGCATGACGTTGTTCATGTCAGAAGCAGACATCAAAACCAGATGGCATGGAGAGAGAGGAAAAGAATGATGGTTTCAGACTCAAGTACCCCAACCAAACTGTGTTGATCTCCTAGTGAAACCCTTCAGGAACATGGTGCAGAGGAACTCATGAGCTGCTTCAGGTAGTGTTAAGTCAAAACACAGCCTGGCTTTCAACAAGACCTCAACCTCCTAAAAAAAAAAAAAAAAACTGCTTCTTTGGACATGGGAAGAAAAGAAAAATGAATACATCAAAACTTCCTTATTGGTTTAGTAATCCATTAGGGTCTAAACTCTTCCTCATCTACTCAACAAATATTTGTTAAACATCTACTATGTTTCAAGGCAAAAGGCAGCATGACCCAATGGCTAGAGAGCTGGCCTGGAAGGCAAGAAGCTCCAGGACTCAAACCCTTTCTCTGTAATTCTGGACAGCCGCTTAGGTCTCTATGTTCTAGGCAAGTGCTCTGTACCAGTGCAATCACAGGACCAGTATCCAACCCTCATTCCTTATGTTACAAAGCATTTATGTTAGGCATTTTAAAAGACACCCTATGCTCCTATAGCTTAGGAAAGGGTTAAGACAAGAACATAGGTAGGATAGAATGTAATAATTCTAGCCGACTATCAGCTTCTTGAGGACATGAACTGCTTTGATTATTTTTGTGTGTGTCCCCAGTTCTTAGCACATTAACTAACACACAGAAAATGCTTAATAAATGCTGATTGGACTATAGTGCTGTAAAAATAGATCTAGGGGTTTTAACTATCAGCAAGTGCAAAAGTTAGCAGTAATTGGGGTAACAAAAAAAAAAAGCTAATGCAATCCTGGGCTACATAAAGAGAGGCACGGGTTAGATTTCATGTGTAGGAATGCTATTACAACTCCACTCAACCATTCCCAGACCTCGTTTCAGCACAGCGTTCAATTCTGAGTGCCACAATTTAAGGACACTGATAAGTTAAAGAGCATCTAGAGGATGGCAACCAAAATGGTGGTGGGGCTTGAATCCATGTCATATGAGGATGGGCTGAAAGAACTGGGTATGTTTAGCCCAGAGAAGGATGGGGGAAGGATAGCAGGACCTAAAGTATGTGAAAGGCTGTCATGTGAAGGAGAGATGAGATTGCTCTCTCTGGCTCCAGAGGACCCAGCCAGGAAAGATGGGTGATGTCAGGAAAGATGTCCTAACAATTAAGAGCAGCTGAGGCTGCTTTAGAAGTTTCTCTTCCTATAGTCTGTACATCTAATTATCTAGCATGGTATAATGGTGATCCCTTTCACACATGGGTGGAACTAGGTGGCCCCTGAGGTTCTTCTCAACTCCAATTTTGTGATTCTGAAGAGTGTAAAAGGAGAGCTATGGGGATTTAGGGACAGATGTCATGTTTCAAAACAAAAAGAAAGAACTCCTATTAAGTTCTGTAGTGAGAGAAAAGAGAATGATCTCTTCGTGACCCCAACAGCCACCAGTTCATAACCTGGAGCAATGCATTTAAATACAACCAAATACATTCATCTTGACAAAGTTATCCAACCCATACAAATCTAAGCTAAAACTTATTCTATGAAATTCTGCAATCACTAACCAAACAAAAGGTGAAGTGCTTTCCTTTGTTGTACATGTTTACCTGCTACTAATTTCACTGAGTAACCTCTTGGCTATTTGTATTATAGGACAACACAAAAAAAGAATTAAGATTTAAGAACACTGTCATTTTAAAAGCTTCAAAGTTCTCCTTGGAACTAAAAACTAATTAGTGAAAGCTCTAATTTTAGTTCCAATTCTACCAAGATAACTTTATTTCGATGCTAACCAATGCAAATAACATTTAATTATACTGAATAAGTCCAATGGTAAAGAACCCGTAAGGAACTTGTGATTGAGTGGTGGTACTGGGACCTCACTCTTCCAATGTAGACCACAAATGTTTTAAATTTAAAAAGTTTTAGCTGTCTGAGATTCAAAGAAGTTAAAAGATTTGGACATTGCCAAAGACTGTCAAAAGCACAATTTGAACCTAGGCCTTCTCAACTCCAAGTCCAACATTATTCATTATGCCATATTAAATTCATTATGCCTTTTTAAATTATATATCAAGTTGAAAAAGTTTGTGTGTTTCAGTTTAATGCTACTGCAAATTACATACATCCCTTCTTTTCTTTTCTTTTTCTTTTTTTTTTTAGTGAGGCAATCAGGGTTAAGTGACTTGCCCAAGGTCACACAGCAAGTGTTTGCTCTGAGGCCGGGTTTGAACTCAGGTCCTCCTGACTTCAGGGCTGGTGCTCTATCCACTGCGCCACCTAGCTGCCCCTCTTATTTTCTTGAATGTTATATAAGCAAGGCATTACATTATGGCCAATAATGTCCCAATACTAGATGGCAGACCGTTTTTGAGTGGTTTGGATTGGTTCATTGTTTATAGTAGGTCTGTTTTTCCACCAAGGAGGTGTGGGCAACACCACGATTGTCTGTGTAACAATGATTCATATCAATAAAAATATACTAACAATAATACTACATTTGCTTATCATAAAGCAACATCTTGAATTTAGATTGTGTTCTTCAAAGAATGATGTTAAGTACCTTAGAGATATTAAATCTTACTGGGGTATATAAGAGGTAAATATTGTTATCTCTAGACTAAATGAAGAATTGAAGTGACTTGCTCAGTCACAAAACAATCAGCTGGCAGAGAGTAATTTAACATTAAGTCAGTAATTCTCAAATTTATCCTCTAAGTCAACATCCCCTTCTAAACTGCCATTTCTCAGTCCTGGCCTCCCTAAAAGAGAAGTCTCCCCAAAGAATGACGGGTAGTGGGAGAGAAGCAGGTAAAAGGTGTTTTTATTTTTAGGATTTCCATACTGTCAAGAACGAGAAAAAAAAAAGAATGAGAAAGAAATTGTTACACCTATAATCACAGGATTATAGTTTTAGAAATAGAAGGGACTCTAATGATCCTTTGCTTATAATACCTCATCTTTTCTTGTCCAAGAGAATTGAGGCCAACAAGAAAGGATCAGTGGGATAGCAGATGCTAATAATAGCAATAATGGAGTTGAGGGATAAGAGAAATGAAACGTAAAATAAGATAACAGTTGTGACAAGGCTATACCATGAAACTAATCAGTACACTATTGAATAGTTATGAGGAACTTGGAAGCTATTATCCTTGCAAACTATGCCAGTAAAACAGATAAATCTCCTCAAACTGGCAATTCAAGAAAGGACTGGACAGATTTGGTTAGACTAGAGGACTGAAAAGTCTCTTCCAAGTTAGATTCTATGAAACTGAGCGAGAATCTTAAAGAAATATTTCGATTGTGGAAGAGGCCAAAGAAAGATTGGGAAATGACACTGAAGAGTTACAAAGTCAAGGTATATGCTTTGGGAAGCTCAGTCTTTTAAGGCTGGCTGCCAAAACTCAAGAGTTGTAAAATATTTGAATAGTTGGTAGGGACACTTGGGCTATCAGAGATTATCAATGACTACAGACTTGCTTTTATAGGATGTAGAGCTTGAAGGAACTTTAGAGGTTGCTCTCATTTTATAGGTGGTATAGCTTAGACCCAAAGAAATTAAGTGACATGGTTTGCCCAAGGTTCTACCTGGCATAAGAAGTCCAATACAATATTAAATAAAAATCACTGCCACAGAATTAGTATCCTGATTTTAATCACACTGTTTTTCCTTCTACCATCAAGTATTTTTGCTTCCTCAGTCATTTCCCTCCTCTTTTTTCCAGTAATATTGCTCCCTGCTCCTCAAACTCCCTTCTCTCAAATTCTGCTTGGCACATTAATAAACCATTTTTAAAAACCCTGTAAATGTTATGCCTCAATGGATATGTATCTCAACAGACTAATATTACTGCCCCTTGTATCCTTGACCATGCAAATTGAGTTGATATCAAAATCAAGATTTCTCTGAAAGATTTTTTGAGACAAAATAGGTATATTTTGTCTAACATAACTAAGAAGGCAAGCAATCAAATGAATCCTGACCTCACCATCAAGTTACACTTAATGCTAAGATAAGTAGGCCCCCACCTTAGCTGCTCTGAGCAACATCTCTCGTTCTTCTTCATCCTTTCGCTGTTTTTCGATGTGATCCAGCTTCTCAAGAAATCTAAGTTGTGACCTGGTATCACTAGACATGACATAATTTTCACTGTCCTGGAAAGAAACAGACAATGATTATAGAACTGGGTCTCACTTCATACGTAGAGCTCTTTGGATAACAAAAGTCCATGATTTTAACACTAACAAAGTGGAAGAGATGCATGTGAGGAGATAATATTTACATGTCTGCCCCCTTCTACCAAGAAGGTCTTTTGTATCTTCCCTAGAAATGGAAAGGTAATAATTAAGTGGTTATTTTCCCCCAAAGTTTAGGTGAAATTAATAATTCTCCTGTCTATATCTTAGAATATCAAAACACGAAGTGTCTTCAATAAAAAGTTGAAAATAAGATTGAGTTACAAACTACATAATCTAAATTATGTAATCTATTACTTAATACTCATAAGGTTATAGGGAATCATCCATCCCATGGTTTTCAAATCAAACCAAATTTTAAAATGTAGAAAGAATAGAGAGAGAAAAGAGAACAGCAATTGAAAAAAGATAAAAGACAGGAAATAGTCACTTCCCCTAAAGATATTCTGGTAGAAGAATGGTCTCACATATACTCCTGTTAAAATGATGACCTTTATAGCAAATTTTGAAAAGAAATAATGTTTCTTGAAACATTTAATTCAACAGCTAGATATTTTTTAAACCCTCTAAAATCATAAATACCTTCTGTCCCCATCTCCATCTTTCTTTCATTCTTATACTTACATGGGTTTCAATTAACCAGGGGAGGGTGGAGAAGGGAGGGAGTTTCATATGCCCAGAATTCTACTTTTAAAATTAAATTTTCATTGTTTGTATTTAACCAGATCAAAAAGAGTATTACATACTTTAAGGGGAAAAAATGTAATAGTACTACTTATTTTGCTTAGAGTCTAATACAAAAAGAATCCTCATATGCTTTATAGAGTTAAATAACACAAGTTAAAAGTATGGAATAAATTACACGCCAACCATAGAAGTGTATAAACAAAATCCCTAGTGGTTTCTTAAATACCTCATCTTTACCCATTTTCATTTTCAGACACTCTGGAGATAGTTTACTGACAGGATTTAATTTAAAATGGAACATAACACACTAAATGAAAGGGGGGTGCAAATCAGAGTTTTGGCCCAATCTCATTGCCATGCTGAGATCTCTCCTACTCAGACACAGCTGCCCCTGGCATAACCCATCTTTCTTTACTTTTCCAGATGTTGTTCCATAAATGAGCTCCTCCCTCTCTTCCTACTGAGTCCCTAACCTTAAATAGTAACCCTGACCTCACCACGTTCCTTCCTGTCTACCCAGCTGGTAGACTCAACTGAATTCTTCATGTACAAACAGAAAAAAAACCATGCTTCAAAGAATTTTAGGACCACTATATATTAAACACTCTACTAAGAATAAAAGAAACAACATAGACCAAATGCTATCAATGCCAAGAACTAAACCATATCCAATGAAGGAAATGTGGCATCTTCCTATTAAGGGGGGGAAAAAAGTAAGCCATCTCTGCAGAAAATGGCTTGTAAAGAAGGTTATAAGGCACATCTCTTCAGTGGGAACTGAACAGCAACCTGTGGGAACCTGGCAGCAACATCAATAGCAAGTTATGTGCCTTGTACCCTCAAATGTGACTTGCTGCTTCTTTAAAGAGTTCCATTTACATGAATAGGAAGCACTGCAAGAGAGTCTGTGTTATTAAGTACAGAAGTAAAGAAAGCAACCCAAGTGAAAATGCATCAGAAAGCAGAAATGTCAGCAGCAGTCAGTAACAAGAAGAACTGCCCCTTCATAAGTGTGGCAAGTATCTATCACAATGGCAGAACAGACAGTGAAAAAATGATGATTCAGATGGTTTGAAGTACAAGAAAGAAGCTAAATTCATGCACCACAGGCAAGGGTAATGACAATCAAAGCATTCAAAATTGAAACCAAATATGGCTAAATTAAGGCAAAGGAGGATGCAGTAGCTGCCTCTCTATCTGAATAACTCCTTTCATAGGGAAACATGGGGCAATGAGGACAGTTGCATGGGGCAGAAAGATGAGGAGGCCACAATATTTTTCCTATGGAGGTCTTTTAAGGTAATCAATATGCTACCCCAGCTTGCTAGGAACAGGAAAAGCCCTAGAACAGATGTTGTCAGCACATACAATAAGTTCCAGTCTAAAAACTACATGCAATAGCATACTGAATGGTATTCAGAATGCTAAACACAACTTTCTAAAACAACAAATTCCAAAACTTTGTTACCTAGTACTGACAGACTCAGTCAAACTTGTATAAAAACAATCCAATGAAAATGTGGCTGCACTGATGCATGCATGCTTAAAACAAGAGTATAGCTGCTTTAAAAAAATTTTAAAAAAAGAAATAAAGAAGGAGCATTGCTCAAAAATATAAAAAGTAACAAAGCTTTAGAGATTGAAGCTCATTTTTAATCCAAGGAAAAAAACAGAGTTAATAGAAGCTATAAGTATGCTTCAAAATAGATTAATATTAGAGGCTTCACATGCAAAGTTTTCAGTTCAGTCTAAGACTAGAGAATAATAAAAAGTATACACAGCTTCACTCCCTGGGGCTCTGGAACCAGTGCTCTTGATCCCTCAGGTTTTCTTTTTCCAGAATCTTTTCTATTGCTGAGTTCATATGGCTGTTGCTCAGCCCAGCAAATTTTCACTAAAAGAATTATCATGTTATTTGAAGACCTGAGCCACAACAACCCAATCCTCCCAAAGGTCCAAGTGAAGTAGAGAAAGTAGGGCAACTGCTCCAGAGGACTCACCAGTGGTGCGGCAGCTGATATTCCCATGGATTCCTCTTAACCTATGGCTAGAACACCACGGTGGTGACCATACTACAAATCCCAAATGTTTTAAGATCTTTCATCCCAGCCTTTTCTCATCTACATTCAATCTTACTCCAAATGCAGTTATTGGTATTCCTTGATGTAGGAAAAGAGATAGGCTATTCCCTATTACTCACCGCCCAATCATTTCTTCCTCCCCAAACTAACAACTGCCTCCAGTGCCTTCATCTTGATAATGGCTAGTGAGTGTGAGCACATCACCAGGGACACTGCGCATTTGGATCTGTGATTTTTACAAATGCAGGCAGTCATGTTCACCAGGGACATCAGCTTTCACTCAATGGGTTCCTGTGCCTTATATTAACAGGGGACAGGAATGATAAACCATGGTGCTACCATTTCTACAAAACTAAAAGGGAGCCAGCATGGCACTCTTTAATTTATTTCTCTTCCAACATGAACCTACTGAGGTGAAACCTGAAGTTGAAAGTTTCAGTCTCTGCCACCACAAACCTTTGGATAACTACTTAAACTTTAATTCTATTTTTCTATGTGTACACGGAAAACATGAGCATGCTCTAAACGATGAAACAATTAAGAGTATGAATGATTTTACACAAATACCAACTACAGAATAATTTAACCTGGCTAGTTTCCTTAGGAATATGAAAACACAAAATAAATGGTCTTTTTAATATGGGAAAGAAGAAAAAAAAGTACCCAGAACTTCCTTAATGATTTCCTTTACCTTGCAAGTTGTCATTCGATGCTGAGCAATTATAGTCAGTTTCTCTATAAGGCCTCGTAATCGCTCCTGTGTAGCATGGGAGATCAAGTTCACAACATCAGAGTTAAGTTCCATAATGTCATGCCTCTTACCTGTGGAAGCAGAGAAAATCCATTACATGTTTTAGCAATAGCTGATAATTGAAATAATTAGCACAGCAGGTATTCTGTTCCCCCTGGAAGTCATACCCATTATGAATAAAGGTTTGGAGATTATGATTTTCCTGGTAAAGTCACAACTTCAAAGATCTTAGACATTACATTAATAAAACTTAGCCTGAAGCTTCAGAAAATATAGACATTGTTTCACTTAGCCCCTAGAATCATTCTCCATGCAAGGTTATTTATAGGACAAAGTTAATAAGAACACAAATCAAGTCTAGTGTTCAAGGGGGAGAATAATAACTGTAGAAATTAGTGACATTCTGTTAATTTTAGTAATTTTTAAAATAGAAAATTACATTGTGCCCTGTTTAACACAGTAGTTGTTAACAATTCATGCCATTTATTTCAACGAATTTGGAATATGACTATTTTCTCTACAAGCTTGTAAACCCTATACGTTTCTTGTTCATGCTTAACTTTATTTGTGACGATGAGGCCATTATTTCTACAAAGTAACAAGCAACCTGGTAGCCAATTTATGAACAGACTCAGGTTCCAAAGTATCATCTCATATGCGTCTATTTAAAAATCTCTTACCTGAGTATGCCTGTTACTAGCCCCTTTCTTTGTTATTAAGAGGGGAAGGTAAAGTTCCTTGATTAAATATGGAAAGAATAATTTCATGAAAACGATTTGGACTACATACCCAAAGGCAAAATATTACTTCAACGTTTCCTCATTAGTGGCTAAAGAGTGTGTATCCACCCACACGCACTACAAACTTAAGCCTATTAATGTACATACAACAGTAGCCAAATTAAAAGTCTTTTAATGGTGCTGAAAATGGTGTTTGACTTTTGGACATGGCCAATATGGGAATTTATTTTCTTGAGGATGATGGTTAATGGGGAGAGAAAACAAATACTTGTTAATCAGGGGAAAAATTAAAAAATTTAAAATTTAAGTATGTGTGTGATCACGCACACAAAAGACTATGAGACAAATTTTTATGCTCTCACCAAAGAAGACAGAACATTCAACTCTCTTTTTAAACTCTTTTCGGTTAATAAGACATCATTTAAATGCAAGGCAATATGCAAAGTACGGTGCTAGGTCCTTGGGATACAAAAACCAAAACCAAAAAGTTCCTGTACTCAAAGAGCTTACATTCTGTGCCATGATTATTTAAAATACTGACTTTTGCTCTAATTTTAGCAAAGTATAGCATAGCAGTTTGAGGCTGTCTCTACATTCTGCTTGGTTTTCTCAAAGAACCTTTTATAAACCACAAAATGCTTCATTACTTCCTTTCAACCTAGGAACCTATAAGCCAGACAGTAAGACAGCAAGGTTAGAGAAAAGGCAGCTCTCATAAGTCTGGTTTCCTTTGCAGGAATCTGAAAGACAGTGTTTCTCTCCAATATGAAGTGGGATGAAAAATCTAAAAAGCTTCCCATGGCCTCCTCAATCAGATTTGGATTGCATGGTTGTGGTCAAAAAACTAGTTGATCACAGAATGAAAACTGGAAGGGACCTGATAAGTTACTGAGTTGAATCCCCTCTCATTTTACAGATGGGGAAACTGAGGCTCAGGAGTTAATGGACTTACTCCAGGTCATATGGGTGATGTTAAAGCTGGAATTTAAAGCCCATCACTTCTTCTACTGTATCACACTGTTTTACTGCTTTCTCTGACATGCTATGAATTCATAACCACACTGCAATACAGAAGTAGAAAAAACATGTCAGAGTCAAATGAATGATTTTGGGATTAACCATTCTGGAAGATAAGATAATCACAGAAAGGGAAAACAATTTTAATACAAATAAAAAAATAGGGATGAAATTATCTATGCCATGTCAAGTGTTAAAAATTAACAATCCACATTTATAGCAACATAGTTGAGTTTTTTTGATAGCATCTATACCAGAGAAAGACATTTTTGGGAAAGATATAGCATGGTATAGTGAAAAGAGCCCTGCATTTGCATAGTGGGAGAATAGTAAAAATTACTCTCAGGGTTGTATTAAGGATTAAATCAGGGTATATAAAGTGAGCAAACTTTAATACATTATACACATAAATATAATTAAATGAGATAACATCTGTAAAGTGCTATGCAAATCTTAAAAGCTCTATATATATGCTAGCTATTATTGTATACTGGTTGTTATTATTAACAGCAGTTAATATATAACAATATAATAATAACAACAGTTCTCAAAATGTGGTCCAGACATCCCTGGGTGTCTCTGAGACTCTTCTCTGGGAGTCCATAGGGTCAAAACTATTTTCATAATAATACTAAGACCTTATTTGCCTACTAAAACACTCTTCTTTTTCCAATCACATATTGTGTTATATATTTTAAAAAAAAATCACAGAAGACTAAATGCAGAAGCAGATATAAAGTCAACTGTCTTCTACCGAACCAGACATTAAAAAGATTTTTGTTCCGCCTTTCCCCACCCAAAAAATTTGGAAAAAGTTACTCTTTCACAAAAATTTTTTGATTTTGAAAAACATTATTTTACATTTTAAAATGTTATTTATGTTAACATATGATAGGTTTATTGTTCATTTTAGATATGTGTCTATGTGTGTGTGTGTGTGTATCTATATATGTACAGATACACACATATATAAAAAAGTCAGTTTTAGTTTCTAATATGATTAAATATCAATAGATACAATCCGTGCAAACAAAAGCTCTTTGGAGTCCCTCAATGTTTTAAGGGTACAAAAGGGTCCTAAGACCAGAAAATTTGAGAACTGCTTATTTAGAATCAAATGATCTGGGTTCAATTCCCATCTGTTTTTACCTGTGTGAGTTTAGGAAAGTTATTTCCCCTGTGCAGTTCTGATATGTATGGACTATTCCAACCATAAATCTGTATATGGTGCCTTCAAGATGGCAGGGATAGACATTCTAAATAAATAACAACCATTTTTGTTAAAAAATTTCAGCTTAAATTTACACAAAATAGAAAGTTCATATAAAATGCATCCCTCACCCATCCCTATTCCACAACACTCTGAAAAAAAACTTACAAAAAAAGTTTCCAGTTTTATATTATGTTATAAAGTTATACAAACTGCAGATAAACAGCTGCTGGGAATCTCTAGTTGAAAACAATCCCTACTAATTTCAAAGATATGCTCAACATTGTCCACCAAGCAGCTAATGAAAAAAATACATGCTGAAGTACTTGAAATCACAAAAACAAGTAAATCATAGTTAAATACCATTTAAACAAATTTTATTTTTATTTTTATAAAATAAAAAAATATTAAATATAAGTTTTAAATTAGGCTTGTCAGCCTTTCATATAGTTAATGAATTATTTGTATACACTAATTTACTAAGATGGAACATTGTCTTGTTTTGTCTTCTAATATTACTCAAAGGGACTAGAGTTATTTTTCAATCTAATTCTTAGGACAAATGGCCTTTTTCTAGTTTTGTAAAATTAAGATCTTAGTCTTCACCAATTTTTTCTTTCAAATGATTTTACTTAAATGAAAAATCAATTTTTCCTAGAATATATAATGTAGTTACAGTCTATGGTTTGAACTAGAGAGAAAACCCCCAAAGCTTCCCAGATAACTCCGGAATGAACACTGCCTACAACTTCATCACATTAAAAAAATAGGATTAACAGTGTCTGCTTCCTAAGTAGCGACCCCACTCCAAACCACAAAATACCTGACCCCAAAACAGTGTTCCAGATTATCAGGATATCTATGCCAATGTTAATGTGTTCCCATCCCACAATCAAGATCTTTTATCATGCTAGAAATAAATTTCATATGGAGTGAAGCAAAATAATGGCACAGCAAAAATATCTGCCCTTATCCAACAGTCAACATATCTCTTGATGACAGTATTCCCATATGGGGGTAGATGGGAGAAAAATGAAGATAAAACCATACATGCCATCACCACAGACTGGTAACTACACAAAAAGCTAACTAAGGATCTGGCTGATTCCAGAATACCTCAGAGGGAGCTATCTCTATATATATAATGACAGATCCAAAGAAGAGGTAAGCAAACATCCCATTAAGGAAATATACAATCACTGTTCGGTATGCATTTGCGTTGGAATTGAAATTTCAAAACTAGTATCCATTGACCTTGATCTCCTCTTTGGAGGATTAGCACATTTTAATTTGTCTGCAAGACTAAAAAGGAATAAACCCTTCTAAAATCAAGTTGAGAAAACTGTGTTTTTCATGCTAGATTTAAATGCCTTGTAGACAGTAAGTACTCACTATATTTTCTTAGATTAGCTGAGTATGAAGTATACCTGACATTTTTTTTTAAAGATGTATAGAAGATAACAGAAGGAAGGCACGAAAGAAGCACAGACAAGCAAGACAGCTTTGACAGCTACAAGATGAACCTACTATATAGTCAATAGGTGAGGTATGCATAGAAGAACAATTTCATGTTACAATCCTTTTTTACTGTTGAAGTATGCATCTGGAAATGCATGTTTAAGTTCAGAATAAAAATGAATTTTTTAAATGTGAAATACACCTGAAATATAGGTTGTAATTTTAAAAAAAATACATAGGTTAAATCTCAAAAAGACTAGCCCTAAGAGATTTTTACATCACTCTTTCAAACAAAAATAAAGATCCTCATTGATCCATGGTCAAAGCTTACCAGTACACTTCCTTCAATCAAATAACCATATGGTAGAGGAGGGATACTATAACAATGAGGTAGGGCCATGAGAATGCATACAAGAAAAGCATACATGCCTCCAGTAATGTCAGGATATGCATCTCCAAGCCTGCTACCCAGATTATTGGCATTTTCTCTGCCACCTCCCTCCACAGGTAAAATGGATTCGTGCTAATTTCTTAGGCCTACTGAAGAATATCCACACTTTCTACAGTCTAAGTCCTTTTAAGGGTGAAATGGTATGAATCTTATGCTAGAACTAAGGTTTAAAAAAACCTCTGCTCTTCTTGGCTACTTTTTATGTGTACATACACATGCATGTGTGACACAAACCCCCCCTTATGCCACATCTCCATACTATCTATTTATATAGGTATACACATGGTAAACGTGTGTGACTTTGTGTACGCATGTATTCATATAAACATGTGTACACACACACACACACACACACACCCCCTTATACCACATCTTCATACAATCTATGAAATGATAGGAGGGACACATAACATAGTATGTGTGTATGGATCCACATATGAAAAGATGCAAAGTCGTCTATTAAACCAAAGGAATGTGAATAGATAATGTAACCTTTTGCTATCTAAACTAGAAACTACAATATAAATACAGGGAGTGTGTGTTTGTGTGTATGCATATGTTATTTTTCATGTTAAAAATAAAAACCAAAAAAAATTTCCCCCCACAACATGTATGAAAATCTGAAGCATCTCCTTTAAGCCTCAAGGAATTCTGGGGCCATTAGAGTAGGACTAGGTATTCTTGCCTGGAAAGTTTTTCTCCTTGATAGCTAGTATGGTCAAATGTGGCAAGTAGCATTTTGTATCCTTTTCATCATACACATCAACACCAAACACTTTACTTGTCACAGAAACATTCACACTTACCAATGTCTAAAATTCTTTTTTGGAGAGCCTCCGTAAAAAGGAATGGTTCTTCTTTATGAGAGCGAGTCAGTGTGCCGACTAATTCAGAGTTTGCTGCTAATATGCAGGCATTTTCTTCCCTGAGGTTGACTCCTGCCATGGAAGTGACGTCATTGATGTCATCTTCATCTCTAACAGAAAGACAAGTTCTTGCTTTGTTCTTTTATATAATTTAGGACAGAAAGAAAGCCTAAGACCTACTCTCCTATATGTGAACAGTTATTTTGTCAATTTAATGGACCACTGATAGAAATAACAGGACAGTCTACCACCAGGGCTAAAGCACATTCTAATCTGGCAGGAGGGATCTCAAGACAACTTACCTTCCATAGTTCTCTTCCTCTTCCCCTCCTCCCCCACAATGAGAGAGATCAAAAACATAAAAAGTACAGTAGAACCACAACAGAACCTTTCACCTCCTTCATCCACAGTGGTTGCAAGTTACTCAGGTCCATCCCAGTCAAGACATCTGTCCATAACATTGACACTAGGCTATGAGGGAGAAGGAAGAACTACCAATATGATACAACTTTTGAGAGGTCCATATTATAGTGAAAACCAAAGGGTTAAGTAACTGTTCCTTAAGAGACACTGATCTCAGACACTTGACATTTACTAGGCTGGGTGACCCTGGGCAAGTCACTTAACCCCGAGTGCCTCATCAAAAAGCAAAAAGGAGAGAGAGAGCGCACGATAAAGGAATGATATGCCATCATTCCTTTACATGCAGCAGGAACAAGTCCCTGATTCCTAAACCATTTCTAATAGGACTTACACAAATGTCTCCAGAGGGCATTTTGACACTAATAAATCATTAACCATCATAACAAAGTTAAGACCAAGTAAAGTATTTTTTTTTTCTTGAATCTACTTTTTCATGTACTCTGTGTATAGAAAAAAAAAGAATTAATCCATACTTTCCAGATGAGTCACTCCATTAAAAAGAACAAAAACAAATAATTGTAGGGTCTAACATGGGAAATCTACACCTTTTTGCTAGCTGTTCAACTAGCAGAAAAAAAGCAGCTATGTTGCTACACAAGAAATGTTACGTAGCTACAAAATCAGAATGTATAACTTGGGGAGTGGGGAATAATCTAATTAATAAAAGCATCCTTTTCACATAAGCATCACCAAGCACTTCCCTTCTCACTTCACATACACAGATATAGTGAGACAATTTGTTTAACCATAACCAAGGTATTATTTCTTTTTTATAAAGACAGGAAAAGCCCTGGATCACAAATCAAAGAAACTCAGTTCAGGTCCTGGGCTCTGCTCCTAACTCATTATGCAACCGTGGGCAAATCATTTAACTTCTGAGGACATCACTTTGCCATTTATAACATGGGGGATACAGGTTGAACTAAATCACTAAGGACCTTCTTAATCAAACAATTCTATGATTCTGTACCTGAGCTATTTTGACCATCCCTGGGGTAATGCACCTGTTCAAGGAAAGTGGGAATAAAAACATAATTGTCAGGATCAAGTGCCCAAGAGCTGATGATCCCAGCGTCCAGCCGAATGGTGCACAATAGTATTAACAATTCCTACTCCCAAAAACACGGTCTTGGAAACAATAGCTGAACAAGTAGAGGACAACAGCAGGTTGAACACCTTGATATTACCTTGGATACATTGATAATTAAAACCTCAAATATGCCAAGTGGGAAACAGAGGAACAGGTACATATTTATGTTGACAGAAGATCCACAGAATTACTAGGCAAGCAATCCTGAAGAGTTCCTTTCACCTCTGTTGTCTTGTTTCCTTTTCCATAAATGAGAATTTGGCTCTCTATAAATATCTCAAGCCTCTTCTAACTCTCAGAGACGATGATTCTCAGTACCAAAACAGACATTTTCACATTCAATAGTAGTGACTTCACATTCAAGATGTGCTCATACACAGAAGAAAGAACTCTTTCTGTAAGTCTTCCTCACACACCTCCCATAGTCTTAAGGTTCTCTTCATCACAGTTCAAATAACTGACCATTACAGAAAGATAAATGAGGGGATATTTAAAAACTGATAATAAGTGCAGACCAGATTAAAGATATAAAGTCATCCTTCCCTTAAAAATATGGTTAGATAGTATGATAGCATAGCAAGAAAATAAAAGACAACATAATTTTTACACAACTGCTCTAAAAACAATGGATATGTGCAATCAGGCATGGATTAAAGCCAGATGCCAAGGCCCCTAGATCTACTTCTGCTGAGAACTTATACACAGGCTACGATCCCAGGGATAGCCCATGATGATCACGCCAGCATGAAACATGATGGCAGAAGGAGACCAGGACTCCTTGGCTCCTTGGTGGACCCAAAGGAATTAGAAGATGATTTCAGTAAATGAAGATGTCCCTCATTTTCCTAGAATCTCTTTACAATCCTTCTCCACAGCCACGCAGGGAACTGCCCCTACAAGATCTGTTGCCTGCTTTACCTCCTCCCATCTGGCCCCAGGCTGAGCACAGCTCCCTCTAGCCCAGCTGCCTGTTGCCATGGTAACAGACAGTCGGGAGAAGCAGAAGAGGACCCTGCTGAGGGAGAAAGTGCCATACTGAACAGCACCCTATATGGCTGAGGAACAGATTAAAAACTCCTCTACAGGAAGGAAGGAGATAGCCCTGAAGGAGACAAAAGACACTACATATTAGTAAGGGAAGGCAGCAGTATGAACAGGATTTCTAAGCATGAGGTGTGAGAGTTATAAAGCATAATTCCTGAAAAGACAGTCAAAGTCTTTTTGGATAATTTTTGGTTTATTTCAAGAGACAAAAAAGTGAATATTGGAATCAACAGCCTGGAAGAGATTTCATGAGGTCCTGCATCTAGCCCAGCACTTCCCAACCAAAACTATGTTGTTTTACATATAAAACCTCTGCCACTGTTCTCCATGGCCTCAGAACAGTAGCACTAGCTGGCTCAGGAGACAAGATATGGGATAAGAGAGAACTAGAAGTAGTAGTAGCAGAATGTAGGAAGAAGGGAAAGAAGGAAAGTCAATTTATGTTCATAAATTTTAAGAAGTAAGAATTTTTGCTAGTAAAAAGTTTTGCGGATTGGTTAAAAATCTGCTAAGGACACTGACAATCTATTCCTCTACCTTTAGACAAAGTAACCTTAATCTAAACCTAGGAGAGAGACTATGATTTTCTTGTTGCAGTCCAGAGCCAGAAAGTTTCATAATCTCCTTTGGTAGAGTATTCCACTACTCTAAGTCCATATGATACTTTACAGTGTAAATAGTGACAGTCCGGGAAGTGTCAGTCAACAAATATTTCTCAAGTACCTACTATGTGCTCAGTAGGGACTACAATATTCATCCCATCCAAACTTCAAGACAGTTTAGAAATAGAACTTCATTCTTACTGTGAAAAGTCTGTTGATAAGGCTGGGTTACTCCAACTTTTAAGTTGATTATTAAGATTTTATTAAAAATTCAGTGGTACTGAGACCCCAATGGACAAGTAGTCTAAGGATTGAAATAAACAGTTCTCAAGCGAAGAACTGCAATTACTGATAATCATATGAATGAAAGTTCCAAATAACTAAAAAGAGATATGCAAATCAAAACTACTCAAGATTTTTACCTCTTACATCCAGAAAAACTGGCCAAGATGAAAGCAGTTGGAAATAGATACTTAACCATAAATCTTACTGCTTAGAGGTCAACGGCAAAGAGGTCCCCTATACACAAAAATATTCGTTAAGAATTTTGGTAGCAAATATTCGGAAATAAGTAGATGCCCATCATTTGGGCAACAGCAAAACTAACTGTAGCAAGTAAATGTGATTGAATATTACTGTGTCTTAAGAATTCAGAATAAAAAGGATTTCTAAGAGGCAGCATGTATAGTAGATAAGGTGTCAGCCTCAATACCACAAAGAACTGGGTTCAAGTCCAACCTCTGATACCTAGGACTATGTGACCCTGTGCATGTCATTATCTTCTCAATGCTCTAGGAAACTCTCGAGTCTAAAAGTCATAGAGATCTATACTGCTAAAGGGAGTTTCCTCATCTAAGAGTTCCCTATATCAATCCATTCAGAAATTCAGTCCATGGTCCCTGTGGAAAGACTTATATAAACTGATGCACAGTAAACAAAACTGGTAAAACAATATAAAACAACAATTTTAAACAACAATTTTAAAATCCCCAAAATTGTGTAATTAAAATGACTGAGCTAGGCTCTGAATAAAAGTCAAGGAGATGTCCTTCCCTCCCTTCATTGCAGGGGCAGGGGGCTATGGGTATAGAATATTGTATATACTGCCAGATGTAGCTATGTTAATATTATTGAACTGCTCCACCCTCCCCCCCCATTTAAAAAAATTTTTGCTATAAAACATGGCTTGGGGGGCAGGCTAGGGAAGGGGCTCTCAATCTTATAAGGTAACTTCCATTTAGTAATGCAAAAGGTCTACTGTAATTGCTGTTTTCCCTACACAGAGGGGAGTGATAAGAGAAGGAAACAATCATTTATTAAGCATCTACTATGTACCACACACTATGCTAAGCGCTGTAGAAATATCACATTTTATCTTTATAATAACACATTTTACAAGTGAGGAACCTAAGGCTGACAGAGATTAAGTGACTTGCTCAGAGTCATTTGTCAGAGGCTGGATTTGAAAATTTAGGTCTTCCTGACTCCGGGTCCAGCATTCTATCCACTGGGCCCTCTAGATAAAAGGAGGAATATTTTTTGAAATCAATGTAATGCAAGACATCAATAAAAATAAAATGCAATCTTTAAAAAGTCGGTAGCACTACCCTCATACTTAAAATGGCTCAAAAGAGAACTTAAAATGTTTTCCCTTGATCTTCTTTATCTACTGTGTGTACTAGACTTGGAGTCAGGCAGATTTCATCTCAAATCCTACCTCACCTAGGATATTTACTTGCATATTTTGGGACCTCTGGGTAAGACATAACTTCTCTCAGCTCAGTTTTCACATCTACAAAATGGGGGTAATACTAGCACCTACCTTACAGAATTATTGTGATGAGCAAGTAAGATAACATATAAAAGTGTTTTGCAAACTTTAAATTGCTATATAAGTTATATTATTATTAATTAACCTTACACAATAAAATTAGCAATGCCCACTTTTTAA